TAATTGGGTATTTTTTTTCCATCTTGTCTTCTAGCTCACTGATGAGGTCCTCTGCTTCTTCTAGTCTACTCTTTTTAAAATATTTTTTATTGATTTTTTACAGAGAGGAAGGGAGAAGAAGAGAGAGTTAGAAATATTGATGAAACATCAATCAACTGCCTCCTGCACACTCCCGCCCTGGGATGTGCCCACAACCAAGGTACATGCCCTTGACCAGAATCGAATCTGGGACCCTTGAGTCTGCAGGCCAACACTCTATCCACTGAGCCAAACTGGTTAGGGCTCTAGTCTCCTTTTTTTTTTTTTTTTATCTTTGGCTGAAATCGGTTTGGCTCAGCAGATAGAGCGTCGGCCTGCGGACTGAAAGGGCCCAGGTTTGATTCTGGTTAAGGGCACGTACCTTGGTTGTGGGCACATCCCCAGTGGGAATTGTTCAAGAGGCAGCTTGTTGATGTAATTCTCTTATCGACGTTTCTCTCTATCCCTCTCAATTCCTCTCTGTGTAAAATCAATAAAAAATATTTTTTTAAAAAAGGGACCACATTTAAAAAAATTATCTTTGTACATATACCATGCCCCCCCTCTTATACATGCCCTCCCTCCCCAGAGTTTTGTCTCAATTGGTTGTACTTATATGTCTAGTCTACTCTTGATGTTTTCTATAGAGTTCTTTACAGTAGCAGTATCATTTTTCATTTCTTCTTGGTGCTTCATTTCCTCTTGATTCTTACTCATATTGTCAAATTTGTCTTCCATTCTTTTTAGCTATTTTATAATCATTTCTCTGAATTCTTGCTCTGATAGATTGCTTGCCTCTAATTCATTTACTTTCTTTTCTAGTGATGCCTGCTTTTCTTTCATATGTGGGCTATTTCTTTGTCTCCCCATGGTCTCTCTTTTCAGGATGTTTGGTTATATAGTTCTCTCTCTCCTTTCCGTGGTTGGGTGAAGAGCTCTCTTGAATCTGTGTGTTTGCGCTGATTGGGGCCTCAAAACTGTTCAGTGGTTTCCACAGTTGTGGGTTTTTCAGATCCACTTTTCCTTGCAAGATGGAGCCTGTAGCTCTGGGAGAGGTCTCCGTTGCAGTGCGGGCTGCCTGGTCAGGGAACTCCATCCAACAGTCCCCCACCTTCTCTTGGAGTTCTGCTATCCCTTAGCTTGTCAATAAACACTCCCCAAGGGACTCTCAGACGCTCCTTTTATTTGCTCTGGGACTAGGCTCAGAACAGGTGAGCTCTATTCTGCCACCATTTCCCCCCCTCCTGTGTGTGTTTTTAATGTAGCTACTAAAAAATGGAGACCAATATATGTGGTGATGTATGGCTTCCATGATCTTTCCGTCAGAGAGCTCTAATCTAGACCCTTCCTTTTACCTGCAGGCGGCTGGGTTTGTTAACTGGTGAAGGAGCAAGCCCTAAATCTGAAAAACCAGAACTAACATTTACTGCTCACAGGTCCTTCCTGAGGGATTCAGGTGGAACAACCCGTTCAGCCTCGGATGGTTGCAGGGCTGCAGTGAGGCTGTGCAAGGTCGTGCTCCTTCTGGCAGGCTGAGCTGGGACCAGGCGGGCTGACTCCACAGCCTGACCTTGGAACTGCCAGCTGGACTAGAAGGTGCTTTGAGAACCTGCCTCAGACAGCGAAGGCCAAATAGCTCAATGTGGTGGTGTCCCTAGCGACGTACAGCCCCTGCATGTAGAGAGCCCCTGCCCCTCCCAACTGATGGATCGCCCCACCTGACGGGGGATCATGGGGAAATGGCTGGGCCCCCAACCTGTATCACACCCTTGGCTGGCCTGGTGTCAGTGGGTATCATAGTGTGGTCTGTAAGGTCATCCAGGTCATCCAGTCTGGTCTAATTAGCATATTACACTTTTATTATTATAGGCTAGTGGTCCGGTGCATTAAATTTGAAATTTTTAGCGGCCAGGCCTGGAGCGACCGGGCCCGGAGCAGCCGGGTCCAGAGCAGCTCCAACCAAGCCCGGAGCAGCCAGGTTGGGAGTGGCCAGGCCCAGAGCAGCTGCAACCAAGCCTGGAGCAGCCAGGTTGGGAGCTACCAGGCCTGGAGCGGCTGGGCCCGGAGCAGCTGGGTTGGGTGTGGCTAGGCCCGGAGCAGCAGCAGCCAAGCCCGGAGCAGCCAGGTCGGGAGCGGCAGTGGCCAGACCTGGAGCAGCTGGTTGTGGAACGGACCACAATAACAGAGACCAAGCCCGGAGCAGCCAGGCCCGGAACAGCTCGCTCCTCGCCTGCCCCCGCCCCAAGGCTGCCTCTCAGACATGGCTGGAAACTTTTGGGGGAACTTGAGGGTCTGCTGAATCAAGTGATGAAGGCTTAGATCTGGATGTGTTGAGTTAGTATAGCGCTGGGGTGTTGATCTGTGAGTGCCTTGTGTGGGGCCTGGATGAGGTTGGTTGATCTATTTGGAAATGTCTTTTGTGTGAAGTGTATCATTGGGTGGAGGTATTATTATTTTGAGAAAATGCTAAGTAACTGATTTACTATCTGAAAAATTTAAAGTTCTGAAAGTTTAAGGTCTCTTGACAAAAAGAGGTTTTAAAGCTAACACCTTAATTTTAATGGAGAAAGGGAATGACAGGCCCTTCCCACCCAGAACAGATAATCCAATTCCAACCAGCAGCTCTGTTTAAACAATGTGTCCATTTACACTTGAATAGCTACACCTTTTGATAGCTTAAGGGCAAGTTTACATGTAAACAAGTTTGCTCTCAATTCCCAGGGCAGAAAAAAAAAACAAGGTTTAAAATTATTAGATTTTAAAATTCTTAGAACTGTAAAAGTTTATTAATTAAAAAAACAACAACAACAACAAAAGGAGATTGAAAAACCTGATGAGCAATAATAGCGGTTCATTGTAGTAGAGTCGGCGATATGGGAGGGGAGTGGACTGACTGTTCTGGGGGAAAGGGAGGGAGGAAGAGACTGAACATAAACTGTGCACCTATGAATGAGGACAATGGGGGGTGGGAAGGAGGCGGAGGGTAGGGTGGGAACCTGATGGAGGGGGGGAAGAAATGAGGAACCTTTGTAATAATATGAACAATAAAGATTGATTAAAAAAAAAAAAGAAATTTGAAATTTGTGTGTTTGTGGGGACGGGTGTGTGTGTGTGTGTGTGTGTGTGTTTAGAAAGGAGGGTGTACCTTAGCCCAGCCTGCACCCTCTCCAATCTGGGACCCCCCTCAGGGGATGTCTGACTGCCAGTTTAGGCCCAATTCCTGAGGCAGTTGGACATCTCACAGCCCGGACCACTGGCTGCTAACCACTCACCTGCCTGCCTGCCTGCCTGTCCCTAACCCCTCTGGCCTGCCAGCCTGCTCACCCCCAACCCTCCCCCACCACAGCTTGATCACCCTCAACCGCCCTCTCCTCCTGGCCTGATTCCCCTAACCACCTCAATCCCCACCACCATGGCTTTGTCCAGAAGGACATCCATAAGGTCTCCCAGTCTAATTAGCATATTACCTTTTTATTAGTATAGATGTTAGATTGCTTTTGGAACTCTGAATAAAACTTTCACTTTAACATTTCAAACCATAAAGTTACAGATCTGGGGGGGATCTAAGATCTCCTATGTATTGGTTCAGACCATAAGCTTTGTGTCAGGCAAGCTATGTGGCTCTGGGCCAGTATCTCTGCCATTGTAAACCTCCTTTTCCTCACCCGGTATAATATCTACCTTCCAGAGCTCTTTTGTGGATTAAGTGCGATGATTGCAACTCTGTTCCTTATACCTACTTTTATTCCATGGTAGTTGTGGTAATTACTATTATTATTATTACTATTGTACTACCATTGCCTCCCCAGATGTCTCAGAGGGTATAGTCTCTTCAAGCAACCTGGTCTTACCACAACAGCACTTTTCCCTCATTCTGGACCGCACTCGACTCTCCACTTAGCGGGAGGTCCCTGGTTAGCAGGTCCCTGGTTAGCAATGGCCCTCAGCCTCGCCCTCCGTGCTCTTGCTGGTGCCTGAGCAGTGGTGGCTGAGAGCGGAGCTGAGGGCCATTGGAGAGCCTACAGCACACCCTCCAGCATCACTTCTTCCTTCCATCCACTGCTCCCGATACACCGGAAATGTTAGCTCTACTGCTGGCCTTGCGGTGGGCTGCTGGCTCTGCAGTGTCACTGCTCGTGTCGGTACCTGAAGGTGGACCCCTGGCCTCTCGTTAGGGCGCAGGATGGCCACCCGAGGAAGGACGGGCTGCCTGGCTCCTCTCTCCTTCCCCTCGGGGGCCAGGTTTAGGATGGCTGACCCATCGCCCAGAAATTATTCACCGGAAGTCCCCCACTTTGGCCTAGGGCCCTATGATGTCCTTCAACCAAACCTTTGGAGGCTAACCCTATATCTGCAGAAATCGGAAGGCAGTGTAGGCTCTGCTCTGACCTGAACCATTGGAGAGCCTACAGCACACCCTCAGGGGAGCGGAATCGGGGCTGGGGCTTAGGACCCCAGCCCACAGGGACGGAGGATTGCTTCTAGGATGCCATGTGTGTTCCTGGCACCACCCGCTCCGGTGGGACGCCTTCCCAGCGCCCCACACCCCAGCGTCCCGGAGAGGCTGTGTTCTCCCCTCGGCGGGCGGCGCGGGGCCGCTGCGGGCGCGGCTGGTCGTCCAGCGGGTCCTCAGGGGAGCGTGTCCCCTCCGCTCGCGGTGCTGCCGGCCCTGCGGGAGCCCCCGAGGCCGGGCCGTGCTGACCGCCACCAGGCTCCTCCTCCGCGCTGCCTCTCTTCGTCACCTGAGGAGGAAGAGACGTTTTTCCGAAATAAACCACCTACTTCGGACGGTTCCGTTAGTTAGCTGTCTGCACAATCTGCCGCCAGCAGCCCGCTGCCTGGTAACGGCCGCGGCTTTGCCCCGCCCCGCGCTCTAGTGCGCACGCGCACAGCCTCCGCCCGGCGGCGAGCGGAAGTGACGCGCCGGGCGGCCGCGCCGTCAATATTCCTGGCTGGGCGGCCGCTCGCGGGTTCTGAGCGCCATGGCCTCCGCCGGGCTGGTGGCCGGGCGACCGGCCGAGGAAGCGATACCGCCGCCGGCCGAGCCGCCGCCGGCCGAGCCGAAGCCGCCGCCGCCGCCCGTGGCCGCGCCCCAGCAGCCGGCGCCCCGGCCCCCGTCCCCGGCGGGCGCGAAGGAGGACAGCTACTCGTTCCTGCCTTTGGTTCACAACATCATCAAGTGGTAAGGCCCGAGGGGCGGCCCTCACCAACGGGGCACCGGCCCAACGGGAGAGGCTCTGAGCTGGAGTTGCCCTCGTGCGATGGGCCGGGCGGAGCAGCCGCGGGGACGCCGCCGCCGCCGCCGGGCAGGCGCTCGGGTTTGCGCCCGGAGACCTGGTGCGAGGCGGCTTCCGCGCCGGCGGTCGGCCTGGGAGATGGGCGCCCCCGCCTCGCCCCCGCCCTGCAGACCCAGCAGGTGCGCTCCTCCCGGTGCACCGCACAGTGCCGGCCGCCCTGCCCCACGCTCGCCCGTTACGAGGGAAAACCCGTAGTTCACAGAGTTGGGGTGACGCTGGGAGACAGGGGAACAGGTAGCCCCAGCTCTAGCAGGTGTCAGAGCAGGTGCTTGCCGTCCTGTTGGCCCGTCTGCAGGGAGCCTGGAAGGAAGCTAAAATCCACAGCCTAAACGTCTCCCGGTCCCATGTTTGCTGAGTTATTTTTACTGTTGTTATTTATACCCACACAAGACAAGACGAACGCTCTCAGCCTATAGCTCTTATTTAACCAGCAAAAACCCGAAGAAGGTAAAACAAACTGCTGTTACAGCAGCGTTCCGGCGAGCGCTCACTGCTCTTGGAGGTTTTGCTGACATGAAGTGCTGGCTGTTCCGGGCCCAGCTCCCTCTGAGGTCACTGGCTGTGGGTGACCCGATGCTTCCAGGATGCTCTCTCACTGCACTGGGAGCCTCACTGCACTGCCCTCCCCGTGGGGTGACCTGCTGCTCACGCCCGGCACCCCTCCGTTCTCAGGAGCCTCTGCTCCTCAAGCAGCCTTCTCTCGCAAACACAAACGCAGATGCAGTCCCAGGGCAGTCCCAGGGCGGTGCTGGATTACAGATATGCTGGTTTTAAGAAAAATGTGGAAAAATGGAAGCACACAAGGCATACATTCTTAGAGGCAGCTCTTGGACCCCTGGTGTGTGTTCCTAAGCCCTGGTAGAGGGGCGGTGTGGGCTGTCCGTAAGGTGGGCAGTGAGGTGCACTAGAGAGAAATGGGCTTTGAAGTCACAGTCTTGGATTCAAGTCTCATGCTGCCTGCTTGCCTTGCAGTCTTGGTGAACACAACTCTTCTAGGCCTTAATTTTTAAAAAAATATATTTTATTGATTTTTTTTCAGAGAAGACAGGAGAGGGATAGAGAGTTAAAGACATCGATGAGAGAGAAGCATCAATCAGCCGCTTCCTGCACATTCCCTATTGGAGATATGCCTGCAACCAAGGCACATGCCCCTGGCAGGAATCAAACCCAGGATTCCCCAGTTCCCAGGCCGACGCTCTATCCACTGAGCCAAACTGTCTAGGGCGGCCTTAATTTTTAAAATCTCTAATATGTGAATAATAGTAATGGGCCTCAGATAATGGAGTTAAACCATAGCTCTGTAGTAACTGGATGATCTTGGTCAAGCAGCTTAGCTTCTCCGGGCCTCTCTTTCTCTTGTGAAATAGGAATAATAATATTTAAATCCTAAGATTGTGTGAGGTGTACTCAAGAGTCATATCTGGTGAAAGAGTGGGTTGATTACATGGGTTTGTTTTCTCTAAAATGACAGCGAGGCCCTAACTGGTTTGTCTCAGTGGATAGAGCGTCCGTCTGCAGACTGAAGGGTCCCGGGTTCGATTTCAGTCAAGGGCACGTACCCAGGTTGTGGGCTCCATCCCCAGTAGGGGATGTTTCTATCTCTCTCCCTCTCCCTTCTTCTCTGAACTCAATAAAAATATAAAAATAAAATAAAAATAAAATAAAAATATAAAAATAAAAAAGTGAAAACTTTTTTTTTTTTTTTAAACATAAAACCATAAAGAACAAGAGTGGAGATAATTGCCAATGAAGCAGATGGCCACGGGCTCAGCCACCTCCAGCCCCAAGAAGCAGCCTGGCCATGGCTCCCCCACGCTCAGGAATGGGCAGTGCCAGGGGCCTTGGGAATAGAGGTGAAGGGGGCTGAGAACAGGAGGATCTCTTCAGTCTTTTTAAGAAGGAGATCCCCATAGTCCGTGCCCCCTTACCCCCCCAAGTCCAAGCAGACAGGTAGCTACCCTTCTTCCATGGTGGAGGACAAAGCGCTGCTCTTTCCCAGAGCGTGTCCCTTCCCAGAGGGAGGGACGATACAAAACAGTTTGAGAGCGAGTTCACACACTGAATGATACTGAGGCCTCACCTGGCAGCTGAGCGTCTTACCAGCCCAGAGGAAAGTCTGGAGGCTCTCCCAGGAAGAGCTAGCTCGTTCATAGGCCCGATCACCAGTGTCGCTAGGCAGGTGAAGAAACCCTAAGTAAGGAAGCACAGAAGAGCAAAAAAAGCCACTCGGCAAAGCAATATGTACAGAAAGAGGTACAGTGATCATGAGAAAGGTTAGGATGCAGCCTGCTGGTTTGGCTAATGGTTAGAGTGTCAGCCCACAGACGGGTCTGGGGTTCTGTTCCCTGTCAAGGGCATGTTGCAGGCTTGAGCCTCAGCCCGGGTCCCATCCTGGTGTGTGTGGAGGCAGCCAACCCAATGTGTCTCTCTCTCCTCTTCCTCCCTTCCACTCTCTAAAAATCAATTTAAAAATATCCTCTGGTGAGAATAAAAAAAAGGGTTAGGATACGATTTCACTCTATGTCTAATAAGTATGTATTTGAGTTTATAGGCTAATAAGGGAAGAAGGCAGACTGGTCAAGACATGGTGGGAGACAAGCCTCATGAAGCCTGGAGGAGTCACAGCTTGATTAGAGGTGATGCCAACGATGAGTCTTCAGTTATGGCAGGAGCTATAGGAAAAGCATGTGTGAGGATGGGACGCCAAGAAATAGCATAAAGCGTCACCTGCGGACTGAAGAGTACCGGGTTCAATTCTGGTCAAGGGCACATGCCCAGGTTGTGGGCTCATCCCCAGTAGGGGGCGTTAGGAGGCAGCCAATCAATGAGTCTCTTCATTGATGTTTCTATCACTCCCCCTTCCTCTCTGAAGTCAATAAAAATATATTTAAAAAGAAATAGCATAAACTCAGGCTGGTCCACGCGGTTTGATGGGCTGGAACACAGACCTAGGTAGGAAGGGAGAGCTGGGAAGTGGGGAAGCCTGAGGGAGCCAGGGAAGCACTCAACCAGCAGTCTGGTCAGATTGTGCTGGGGTTTGCAGGATATAACTTGTAATCCAGGTTCATGCCTTTGACCAGGAATTGAACCAGCAGTCCTTTGATGGGAGGGCCACGCTCTGACTACTGAGCCTCTGGCTCAGGTTGTCACCATTAACTTTTTATTTTTTTAATATATTTTATTGATTTTTTTACAGAGAGCGACAGACAGTCAGAAACATCGATCAGCTGCCTCCTGCACACCCCCCACTGGGGATGTTCCCGCAACCAAGGTACATGCCCTTGACCGGAATCGAAACTGGGACCCTTCATTCCGAAAGCCTACGCTCTATCCACAGAGCCAAACCGGTTCCGGCTATCACCATTAACTTTTATATATTTTTTTTATTGATTTATTTTTTAAAAATATGTATTTTACTGATTTTTTTTTTTAATTTTTTTTTTTTTTTTACTGAGGGGAAGAGAGAGGGATAGAGAGTTAGAAACATTGATGAGAGAGAAACATCGATCAGCTGCTTCCTGCACACACCTACTGGGGATGTGCCCACAACTAAGGTACATGCCCTTGACTGGAATCGAACCTGGGACCCTTGAGTCTGTATGCTGATACTCTATCCACTGAGCCAAATCGATTAGGGCTATTTTTATTGATTTCAAAGAGGAAGGAAGAGGAAAAGAGAGAGATACAGAAACATCAATAATGAGAGAGAATCATTGATCGGTTGCCTCCTGCACACTCCTCACCAGAGATTGAGTCTGCAACCTGGGCATGTGCCCTGACCGGGAATTGAACCATGACCTCCTGGTTCATAGGTCCATGCTCAACCACTGAGCCATGCATTACATTTTAATCTTGGCTAATCTGATTGGTCAGAAATGATACATTATATCAATCTATGTCTTTTATGATATGAGGTAAAGCATCTTTTCATATGCAACTTTAATGTCATTTCTAATTTTTTCCCTGTAAACTCCCATTTTTCTATTAGGTCATTTCTGTTTTTGTGGACTCTTTAAATATTAAGGAAAGGAGGCCCTTTGTCAAGTAGTTTAAATCTTTTCTTCTGACTTGGGGTTTGTTTGTTGTTCGGAAGCTCCTCAATTTATGTCGGGCAGGTTGGTTAAGAATTTCCTTTGTGGCTTCTGAGTTTTGGTCTAGGTCTTCTGACCTTAGTTTCAGATCTATAATCACTTCTTAATTCGTTTCTTTGCCTTTATCCTCTCTTCTTTCCAGTCCAGCCTGTGTGTGTTAACAGGAGGAACTAGGGCTCTTTCCAAATTGTTTTTGCCAACTTTTAGCCCTCCATCCCAATATCTGTGTACACCATCTTCAAATCTTCTGCCTGAACTCTGCAACAAAGCCCAGATTTGGGTGGGCGGGGTCTTCCTGGCTTGTACGTACTCCAGACCCTCCGTGGGTGTGCCTTCCTGTCCTCTGGGTGACCAGAGAAACTCCACATATTGTCAAGGACTGGCTCAGAGGCTACCTCCTCCTGTGCATAAGCTCCTAGGTTCTCATGCTCCTGGCGGAGGTGCACCTTGCCCGGTGTTAGCACTCCCACAGCCATAGCTTGTATCATTCCTAGCATCTTCCCTGGTTAAATGCACAGCCAAAACTACGCATTTGTGTTATTTTCAAAGATTGAGCAGAGAAAAGGAAAAATGTCATTTTTATGCCTGTAAGAAATTTTATAGGTGGTTTAGAAGTCTCAGCTATTTGAGACTTTTTCTGGTATGCATAGAAACCACTTTTACAGTAGTACATCCTAATATATCAAAACTCAGAGACCATAACATCCAAAACAACTGAAGGCTTGACTGACCGGAAGTCAGTGCTGGGTTGCCCCGCCTCTCTGATCAGGCCTGTTGATAGGCCCAGAGACACT